TATATATATATATTGGAGGGGAATTAATGTCAAGGTGTCCTTACTGTCTTTTAAACATCCATTGTTACTTTGCTCCACCTGTGTGTTAAGAGCCATCATGCCAGCCCAGTCACAGACACTGGTGTATAAACCTTTAGTTTCACAAGCACGCCTGAAGCCCGGGTTTCTCACCTCGGCAGTAGTGACGTTTGGGGCCATGTCATTCTTGTGGTGCTGTCTTTCCTGAGCATTGCATGATGATCAGCAGAGTCTCTGGCTCCTCCCTCTACCTGCTAAATGCCACGAGCATGCACATTCCTGCCTCCATCCCACTGTGACAACCAAAACTGTCTCCGCTCATTGTCACCTATCTTAGTGAGCAAAACGCTCTCCAGGCCAGAGCCACTACTCTAGGATGCCTCTAGGAAGCACAGCTCACTGAGCCTATTGCCAGAGCTTCCGTAAAGATGTCAGGTTAATTTTCTTTTTTATTGTTGTTTTTAGTGGTGATTCAAGAGTGTATATAACTGAGTTGCTTACATTTATACAAGGACACTATTAACCATGCTTTGTTTTAATGACTACTTTTTTTGCCTTGGTTTGCCTTAAGGTTTAGATGGGAAAGAAAGAGGGCAAAGAAGTCAAGCTTGTGAGTGTCCCAAGAGCTGGGGTTAGGCGAGCACCCTCCAGGGTGTGTCTGGTACACTGGAAAGGGAGGAGCCATACAGCCCCCCCAGAACTTTGTGGGAGCTTGTCCAAAGGCTGCTCAGGCACTGCTTTCTGTAGTGCTGGCTGCCCTCCCTCAGAAAGAGTTTGGAATCCTTTCAGTATGAAGAAAACTACTTGAAACTTTTCTTAATCTGTCTGTGTTCCTCATCCTCCCCTTGCTATAAAAAAGGTATTGCACTTTTTTTCTTTTTTAATCTGTCAGGATAACTATCCTGAAAAGGTTAATAATGTGAGGAGAGAAAGAGATTGCGGTGGCTTGGGGACATCGTGCATGATATATGTCTGTGCCCTGGAGTTTGGGATGCGCCTGAGGTACAGAGTCCATCCTCTGTATCACAGCCAGGCTGACACCTCTGTTCTGTCATAGTGGCTCCCTCCTCTACCACAAGAGGCACTGAAAATTACTGTGAACCATTGTCCCTCCCTCCATTCAGCTCAGAGTGGGAAGTTCAGAGGAAATCTCAAAGTGCATTTGTTCTTTTACCCTCCCTGGAATGTGTTCACTCAGGTGTTCACACCTTAATTACGAGTGACACAAAGTGAGATTTATGATCTAAAATACAGTCAACATTTTTGGCATTAAATGTGATCTGGTAGGGCCTTGTCTTCCTTTTCCTTTGACTCAGAGCTGATCCTGCTAGCGCTGGTCGGCTGCATAAACCATTACAGGAACCTTTTAGAAGTGTTTCTAGTCCTCTGGGTTCTGTGGCTTCAATCGCTCTCCCTTCAAATAACCTTGATACCAGTTCCTCACACAGCTGTTTCTAGCCCTGACAGCCAACACTGGTGTATTTTTCAGAAACTAATGCTTCAGATGAATGCTAAGAACAAAGCGGAGGAGGAAGAAGAAGATGCCACAGTAGAACTCGATGTGTCAGACGAGGAAATGGCTAGAAGGTAACTGTTCTTGGTACAGCTCGTGGCCTGCCAGGCCAGACACGGACTCCTGTGTGCACGTAACGCCCCAGTCTGCTGCAGCTTCAGTGTGAGCACCCCAGCAGGAGTCACTGCAGGCTGCCTCCTCCTGGGGGCAGGTGGACCTTGCCTGGGGAGCTGCTAAGGGCTCTGTTCCAGAGCGGCTTCCAAACATTGAGAATGTACAGCTCAGTTCACTTAGGATAAAGTCAAAAAGCAAAACTGGCAAAGAATGTTAACATTCTTAGTGAAATTCATAAATTTTCAATCAGATGTTTTCTTTTAATCATAATTTTCATTTGTCTTGCTCTTTGTTGTATGTGTGTGCTTTGATATTCCTGACAAGACTGACTTTCAACTTTTTTTATTTGTGTTGTCTTAACAGATATGAAACCTTGGTGGGGACAATTGGAAAAAAGTTTGCCAAGAAGAGAGACCGTGCCAATTATGAAGAAGATGAAAATGGAAACATGAAACCAATTAAAACAAAGAAGATGTTCTTAAAGCCCCAAGATTAAAATGGACACCTCCAAATACAGCTCAGGGATCCTGTGAAAGCAGCATATTTTAGAGTTCATCCTGATGGTCTCTGTAGTTGCTAATACGTAATATTTATTTGTAAAGAAATGTATGATTTGGGGAACATTCTGTTTTGAAACAGATGTGTGGTGGATGTTACACATCCTTTTCCTAGCGGCATTCATCAGGAGCACAGCGCCAGCCCTCGGCCTCCAGGTCACAGCGGGCATAGGGCTGCTCGCTGAAGAGTTTTTGACCTCAGATTTTTTAAAATGTAGTTTTCCAGTCACTGACCTGTAGCAGGCTCCTAACCGCCAGGGTTCCAGTTGCCCTTGTGTAATATTTTGCTTTAAATTATTAATCATGTCAATCCAATTCATGCATTCACTTTGGACTCAGATGTCACAAGAATTCATTATAAGTTAATTCATCAAGGACAAACATAACCTGAAGCATTTGTAGACTACCAGTTCATTGTCAGTCTTGGGGTAGTTTGTTTTGGAGGTTAAGGCATTTAATTAAAGTTCTGCAATAAACGTGTTTTCACACATTTTTCCACTTATGCTTTCAAATAATAATTTTAGTCTAATTATTATAAATTCTATCCAAATACCAATTTCCTGAAACTGCACATTAATTTAGAATACAGTGGTATATTAAGTTGAACCATAAGAAATTACCTTTTATGTATCAAAACCAGTTATCAATTCCCCATCGTATGGCCTGATAGAATTCACCACTGACTAGAATATCTTCCAGCTTGAGCCCTATTCTAAGTAAGTACAGAAACCCACATCTGTCTGTCTACAGGTGGGTAGTGAGGACTTCTGAGAATTAATGATTTAATTCGGTTCCCAATAAATAAATGAAGAATGTGTCTCCTCCCTAAATCTCAGTTTGGGCCTCTCTGTGTCTTCGGCTCTGACGAGATAGGAAGAAAGGTGCAGAATTCGCCTGCTGCTCCTTTAGCGTGAGGGCAGGAAGAGTGCGCCTGCCAGTTCTCTCAGTCGGAGCAGCAGCTGACAGTCCTCCGTGCTAACAGTGCGGTGAGCCGCTGACTGGGCTCCTAACGATCAGTGTACCGTGACTTCTGAGTCACAAGCCCATGTCACAGCACAGTGAAAGAAGACACAAGGTTTGCCTACCTCATGACAGCGCTCCGAAAGCTGAGTAGCAGGTCTCTGGGTTCCACATGTGGGCTGTATCAGCTGTGGACCAAAAGTAGCTGTCTGTACTGAAGACTGTCATTCCTAGCAGCACGGTGTCACCGCTACTCGGCACGTATGTTTCCCGCCATACCCTATCCCCACCGCTCTGGAGCAGCAGGCATAAGGACAGCAGGCGGCCTGCTGAGCAGGGGCCTGCCGCTGGATCAAGTACAGCGCTGGGCACGACAAAGGAAATGGGTGCCGAGACTCCCCACTCCATGGGGTTTGCCTGGAGGTCTGTCACCAAGTGAGGGGGAAAGGGCCAGGGCCACTTCCTGCCTTCTCTGATGGCTTCCCCGGCAAGGAATGTTCCCCCAGGGGACGCCATGGTTTCATTAAAACAAATTGAAACCATCTGGTCATGTTACCACTAAACCAACCAGTAAAAAGCGTATTTGCTCTCTTGGCTGGTGCGAGGGGTCTGGCAGCACAGGGTATCCGCCATTCCCACACGACAGGTAAGGGGACGTTATCTTCAGCCCAGGGAAGTTGCGGGGCATTTTCAGCACTTGCATGTCTAATAACATGTTCATGGAAGACAGCAGTCTCGGGGGAATGATTCAGACCCTTGGGGCAGTGGAGTTTGAGGAGACCCTACCACCTACAAACCCCAAGGAGCTGACAGAAGAGAAAATGGGGGCTACATGGGGGAGAATGAAACTGAGTGGACTATGGGAACCCGTGCCAGAACGACTTACTGCCGTGGTTGCTCCTAATCCTGTCCAGTGTGCACATGTGCTAATCTTCCCCTCCATACTGTGTGACTTGGGGGTTTAACTGTGCTAGTTAGTCTGACAAATTATCAGGGGGGTCTGTGACTAAAATTTAATTGTAATTAACAGAAGTCAAGACGTGAATAGTGTGACTCCCAGAAACTGCTGGACTTAGGTGGCTTATTGTGGAGACCCCATGAGGATTATTTTTTATGCAAAGGACAGTTGCAGCACGTATAAGTGAAAATAGCTGTTTCTCTTGTTGCTGGAAGGTCATGTTGAGAAGAGCTCTGTGCAGCTGCATATGGCGGCCCTGGACTATAGCAGACGTTAAGCTACTGGGTCTGTTCCACCCAGCCTCACCCTCTGTAGTCACCGTTAGGTGTGAGGAGCTTCATTCCAGGGCTCCTCAAGAGCACCAGAGTACAGAGACTCTCAAGTCCTTTATATAAATGGTCTAATATTTGCATATAACTTTGCCACATCCTCTACTACACCTTAAGTCATCTCTAGATTGCTTATAGTACCTGCTATGGTGTAAATGTCACATAAGTAATGGTCACTGTTATTTTGGGAATGACAAAGTCTTCAGTACAGATAAATATTTTTGATCTGCAGTTGATCCAGCCAACACGTGGAACCCCGAGATACGAGGTCAGACTATTCGACTTTTGGAGCTTGTCATGGGCTAGGCAAACCTTGTTTCTTCTAGCCAGCTGGTTCGTTTCTGAGGTCAGCAGGTGGATGCTGGTGCCAGGTGGCAAGACTAGAGGAAGAAGGCTTTGGTCCTGTTTCCTCTTTGCCTCCTGTCCTTTGGTCATGCTCTAAACTCCTCCACCCACAGAGGGCAGTGTTGCATGGCTTGTGAACAAAGCGTGAGTTTCCATTGCTTCCAACGCTTGCTGGCACAGCGCCGTGCCAAGCCCCCGAGCCGTCTCAGCCCCAAGCCCAGCCCGGTGCCCGCTCAGACACGTGTTCCATACGTGGCCCAGCGGCCTCCATCCCCACACTCAGCTCCAAGGCGTTAATACGACTAAGCAGCTATTCTTGAGTTTTACCTCTGTGGGTCCCCTCTGAGCTTCTAACTTTGTTTTTTGGTTTTTTGTTTTGTACCAGAAATCAAATTCAGGATTTTGTGTTTGCAAACAGACGCTGTGCCCCTGAGCTATATCCCCGGACCATGCCTTTAAACTTTCAACAACTTCAACCTTTTCCATAACTGGAGCAGCTTCCTCCAGGACATTTCACTGTTCTCTTTTTGCCTTTTTGTAGTTCTTTACAGGCCAATGTACAATTCTTTGTATTGATTTTTCTCTGTTAAAATAGGATGTTAAAGGAGTTAAAGGAAAATATGCCAAACAGGTCTGTGGATTATTTCGAGCTGAAATCATCTGAGGAACCATAACTTCAAAAAGGGCCCTTTGCCCTTATTTTCTCCCCATGTAGCAGGCCATAAAGATTCTTTTAGAAGGAGTGGAAGACCAGAAAAGAGCCTTGACCTGAGAGACCAGTCACCAGGATTGCAGTGAGCCTAGATAAACAAGCCCTTTGAAGTAGCCTGTGTCTTCCAGTAGGTTTCACATTCCCCGTTCAGCTCTCAGCGACGTGCCTCGACTTCACCACCTCAGCCCTGATCTCCGCCTGTCCTCCATTCCACCACAAATTTATCATTCTCTGTCTGTGAGCTACATAAGCACTACATTTTGGTCATTTCTTCAGACTTCACTCTTTTGTGAAGATCTTCATGTACCTATAAAATTAATAAAGCTTTTATGCTTTTCTCTTGTTATGCAGCTTATATTAATTGAGTCCCTCCATCAGGCCAAAGAACCCATGTACAAGCTAAGGGAGGATTCTTTCCTCAAAGAGGTGATTTTTATTTCCTTAGTAGATTTTTACTGATACAAGCTCATTTGAAGGATTTTTTTTTTTTTTTGGTGGTCTCAGGCTGCCTTAAGGGCAGGTGTGGGGTGACTTGTGGAGCTGGGGATCAAACCTCAGCCCCACAAGCCTGACTGGGTTTGCCCTTAAACAACAAAGCTCACCAGCAAGCCCTTCAAGAGGTGAATGCTTTATTTATTTATTGGTAGTACCAGGGATTGAACTTAGGACCTTTTTGCTTTCCAGGCAAGCACTTATTCCACTGAGCTATCTCCCAGCCCCTTACAAGCTCATTTGAAAGCAGTGATACCTGTGAAGTCAAGGGTTTGGTGGATTTGAATGCTTATTTCTCTAATCTGCATTCAATTTTATAATTACTAAAAGTTTTCCTCCCATTTCAACTTCCTGGGAATTATCTCATGCAACCAGCAGCTTACATGCCACTTTCGGAAAATGCTGGCCCACTCAATAGGTCGCAAGTCATTCTGTTCTTCCCCCTAGCTATAAGGCTACTGTCTTCTACTGATGGAACTGTTTCATCATCCCTACGCTTAGTGAGGGACATGGCCCATGTTAAACTTTCAAACAGCATTTCTTTAGTGAATGAATGAATGAATGAATGAATGAATGAATGAATGAACAGCAGTCGGGATAACTCAGAAACCAGTAGACCCACAAAGCCTATTTGTTAAGCTACAGTGCCATGCAAATAACTGAAAAATATAACCAAATAAACGAGAAAAGAAGGCTATTCATTCTGCACTTGCTGTAGCAAAGGAGTCAGCCACCATTGCTTGCATTTTGGCACAGCCTCAAAAGCAGGCAGAGGAGGAGGAATGCTTTGCAGATATTTCTAAAAGAAGGCTGGGGATCGCTATCCTGGGTGCCTCTAATCCCAGGACTCAGGGAGGCTAAAGCAGGAGTATCAAAAGTTTGAGGCCAACCTGAGCCAGACTGTCTTTAAAAATTAAAAGGGTCAGGCTATAGCATAATGGTACAGGGCCCCTACACGCAACCCCACGTTCTAACTAAACGATGCAAAGATGCAGGACTGCTCTGATTGGAGGCTCTTGTCATGAGGAGGGAGCCTGGAAGCGAGGTGACTACAAGCAGAGCACTGTAGACGCCCTATATAATTGGTTAGAGGTACATATTGGCTTTCCCTGATTTCTCCAAAGCGAGAAGCAGGGTAGAGGTGGGGGGAAGTTTAGGGAAGCTGCAGTTACATCCTGGCCAGGGGGCTACTACTACAGAAGTTATTATCAGCTTTAAGGATTTTCACTAGAAATAGCAAACTGGGTCCCTATGGGTTTGACCTACACAGTCAACTGGTCACCTAAGTTGTTTTTTGCAGGTAAGGCCTGGTTCTTGGGCAAAGCGCTGCAGGTTATGAATTGAAGCTCTGTTTTTATATATGGCCTGGCCATCGTCACTCATACCCCCGGTCTCTCAATATTCAAGTTTATTTCTCACTGTACAATAAAACACAAGCAGCCGATGATGTCTCTGTCAGACGTGCATTCATCTTCACAGGAAGACACTGGAGTTTGTAGCTGGCTCAGGACTGGATCCACCTGGTCCGGAGGCAGGCACTTCAGTGGTTAGCGCTGCAGACACAAGGCCTCCAGATGAGGTGCCGAGAGCCCCTGACCGTCCCAGATCTTGGGGAGGGCCACTGAAAACCACTGGCTAGTGCATGCAAAGTTCAGATTAACAGATACTCATCATTTTGCTCACACGACAACCCATT